TTATACATAATTTTCTTTTAATTCCTCTTAGTTTGTAAGCCTAGAGACTAATAAAATGAAATTGAGCTAAAAAACTCAGCTCAAGATATTCACTCTGGAAAGCTTTAATTTTCCCCAGTGAGTGACACATTTGTCTTCTGTCTGCAAATCTGGAAAATTTATTTAAATGTATGCTTCCTCTTTCCTTTACATAGAATTAATGTAGACAAGAATTAGGCACTGAAAGAAAGAGTAAAATCAGATTTGATAGAAAAGTCACAGTTGAGAGCTTGGTGAAAACCTGTCTTTTTCTTATAAATACAAGAAGAGAAGAGTTATCATAGTATCTTTTACTTCTGTTTGATCTGAATTTACTATTGTAAGGTACAGTGTGTAGATTAAACCTTTGAAGCATCCTTTGGTTGTCTGAAGAGCTGTATGTGGATTAGGAGGAGTTAATTCTGGTTAGCAAATTTTGTATTCTTTAGTAGGATTTCTGTGTTCTTATGCCCTGGGATGCACTGTGTTTTCTACAGAGATCAATTAACACGTCTTTCTCCCCCCTTTCCCTTTCTGATATGGGGTTCAAATGACAAACTAGTTTCTGTGAGTATGGAGCCATATGCACAGTGGGATTAAGTTGTTCAATGCATGTACACAGCAGACCAGTACCCTCCTGCTGAGTCTTGCTTAAGGCTTTAAACTTCATATGGTTATGAAGATGTTCTTTGAAAACTGACTGTGGAAATTAATTATTGTATGTTCCCTGTCACCAAAGCCAGGGGCTGGAGGGGAGAATATCCCACTGTAATTGGATTTTTCTCTTCAGAATCCCAGTTCAAACTCAGTTCTGTTGTCACTTGTCCCTAAGAATCCCTTTATTTCAACACCTTGCCTCAACTGAGAGCCTGCTTCTGCTGATCGGTTCCTTCTGTTCTGTCTGGAGGCTGGTGTCAATGGGTGTTTCTTGTAATGTGTGTGTTCCTAGATGGTTTTTTTAACCACTGTAGCCACCCATGCCTGTCTTGTGCTGTCCTCGCAAAAAAAGTAAGTCCTTTTGTGATGAGAATTTAAAATTTTACCCAGATGGGTCTCTGAATACAAAAGCCAGCTTGTCTTCAGGGAGAGGAGGTACATAGTAGAGCTCTCAAAATTACTATGTTGTTACCAGTTTCCTCTAAAAGATGGCACAATGGAGGCAAGAGAGACTCAATTAATTTTCCACTGAAGGAAAAGCAGACATACGCTTTTTATGTGACACCAAAGTATTGAACAATAAGGAGCACTCCTGACAAGCCTGGCTTAGGCACCGCTTACCAGGATGCATGTGCGTTCACTGTAGTCTTTCGTTCTTGGATGCCTTACTTAAATGTCATTTCTACAGGGCTTTATTTTTTTTTTGTTGTTGTTTTGTTTTGTTTTGGGTTTTTTTTTTTCTCCCAGCAAGTAACATCAATGAACATTTCAAGGGCAGATTTGTCAAAGAAAAGATGGGGGGCTCAAAAGGCAATTTTTGATGGGGTATTTAGATTTGGTAGTCTCTGAACTCCTTGGTTCCATCTGTTTCTTGCTTGATAGGACCTGATCTTTTAAGTAAAACTTTCCTGTATGAGTACTTACATCTTCAGCTTTCATTCCTGCTGCTCAAAGATAAGATAGTTTTCTAAAGAGCTAAGGTGGCTTTGCCCCAGGAAAAAAAAAAATAGGTGAAATTGTTTTAAAGACTGCTACTTGAAATTCCATGTGTATCTGCGTTATTCTCGTTATTCTCAAAGATCATTGCAATTAAGCCTGGAAACAATGTATCTCCTGCTGTTTGTATTTTAATAAGATTTTTTTCCCTAGAAATGAATAAACAAAAGCCTGTTGAATAGATACATAAAATGAGGGTCTGTAATACAATTATCAAGGTATCTTCCTCCCCCAACTCCCCAATTGTCTTTGGATAAATCAAATTGTTTGAAAGAACACATAGGAATACCTAAGGCGTATGTAGATCAATATGTTGCTTAGACTTTCAAAGTCATTTTCACATGTGAGAAAATATTAGCATTTCACATTAAACGTTTGAAGCTGGCCCATGACTTGCATAATAAACATAAAACACTGAAATTAAAGTGCTTACTCTAGTCTCTCACAAAAAATACCCATGTATTGTTGTCTGTTCTTTTTAAATAAAGTGGCTGACATAATTCCTGTTGGAAGGTGCTCCTGATGACTTCTTTGAGAAATAACATTTGGTCATGTTCTTAGATTTTTTGCCAGGTGAATGTAAAGCAGTGAAACACAGTGAATCATATAAACATTGCTCTAGTTCCTGGTTACCGTGTGCTAGTAACAGGTGCAAAGATGTTGTTGAAGCTTCTTAAAGCTTTCTCTAGTACTAATTTTTTTTTACTTAACTTTGTAGCTGTTTAAAATAAAGGAGTATTTAAAGTATTATTTTTTTTATTCAACTACTTAGAAAGATCTTCCACTTAAGATGAGGAACTAGCTACACTGAGGCAATATAGAGATCCATGTTGCATTCAAGCGTAAACAATCCAGGGAGAGTAAAGGTGCCTTATCCCAACTTACATACGCCTGCCTTTTTGTTTTTCTTTCTAATATTGAGGCAACTATTCATAGCTAAGAGGACTCTTGCCACAATGGCTGTGCCATGAGAGAGGGCAACCATCAGGTGCACAGCAGTAGGTAGCTGTTTCTGAAAATAGATCGTTTTGGTGTTGATCACCTAAGATGTGAGTCTGCCTTTGTGAATTTTTTGAACTCTGCACATTGATAAAGGTATTTGCTCCTTTCCAGGAATGCTAAAATATACCTAAGCAGTTCTGATGCTAGAATTTGTGAAACCTTTATTAAATAAAACATTCATTTGAAAATGCCCTGTCTAGCTGCATGAAGCTTGAAAGTCATTCTTGTGAAGCTTAATGTTGCTCTCAACAGTTTTTCCTTGATGATAAAGTTTTTATGTAGGGATTTCATTTTTAATTTGATCGTTCTAAGATAGGCAGAATTCTGAAAAGCTTATGTAAGAAACAGCCTATTAACATGGAGATATATAAGGAATTTCTTTATTATGCACGCCTCTATCAACATCAAGTGCTGGAATTGCAACTGGTAGTTGAGATTGACCTGAAGGAAGCTTTATATTTTCACTAAGATTATTTATAAGAGCAAAAGCACTAACCTGAAGTCTTGTAAAAACAGTTTACATAACTGTTAAACATGTAAAGAAAACTTATTATTATAAGACTTGGAGTATTTATGCAGCCCCCAGTACACTATATAAATTGGCTAGAAACATCTGTCTACTTCTGCAAATAGTGTAGCTTGGGTGACTGCATTGAGTGATGAATCTATAACTGGGAACTGAGAAAACATGAAACAAGGCAGTTGCATCTGCAGCTGAATGAGTCAAGATATAGGACATACCTGGTCTGAGGAAGATGTGGACTATTTACAGGCTGATTTGGTGACTTTATGTAATGTGTGATTGCTAACAGCGCTTTGTCTGTTACAAAGTAGAAATAATATTGCTTCAAAATCTGAAAGCGTAAAGTAAGTGTCATTTTCCCTCCTACTCATGGTTTCACAGAAGATTTGCTTTTTGAAAGCGAGAAGTATGGTTTAAAGATATTTTTTTTAAATGCCGTCTTTTGACATACACTGCTGTAGTTAAAATGTGGCACACAAGATGATCTGATTGTTGAAAAGTTGGTTCCACTTGACACAAAGAATGGCCAGAACATTTTTTTATTGGGATGGAATTTTCTAGGAAGTATTGAAATTAGAAAGTAGGTGTTGAGAAATGCTGTTTGTTCTGTTACTGTGCAGCGTTTCATAATAGCTTTCATTATAAAGCAATGAGGAAAGTTAAGGGTAAATTCCTGTGTGGGAGAAGGGGCATATAGGCTTTCTAATTCCCTTGATACGTGCTGCTATGCAACATGGGGAGCATTGCAGTACACAGTGGGTGTTCTAGTGCTTTTTAGCTTGTTGGGGAGCTCAATAGAAGATTTTTTTTTTTTTTTTTTTTTAAATACCTGCGTATGTGTCTGTTTGAGCATGCACATATAACTGGCACATATTCATCTCTACAAGTTTGGGGCTGGTGTAATCCTGGTTAAGGGTTGCTATGCACATGCCCAAATGCCAGGAGCTCTGTAATACATGAACATACCGAACCTATTGTCTAACATAAAAGATCTGTTCTGCTCAACTTTAACACAGTTATAAAATAAATTCTCATCACTCACCTCAGTGACTTCACGGGACAAGACAGCTGGGATGGTGGGGTTTTCAGAGTTTTTCTTAGGCACCATTGTTCACTCTCACCCAAGTTGCTGCAGTTCTCTCTGTGAGGCTATAGACAGCCAGGAAAATCTCCACTGAGGGTACTGGGCAGGCACGATATGTTTCACCTTGTAGGGTGTACTTCCCATCGCAGTGTGTTGTGGTGTCAGGTTGGTGTTAGCATCTGCACCATCTACACACACTTAGTGCAATAAGTCAGAACTGGTTGTAAAGGACGGCTGGGGATGGACACAAGTGTCCCCAGGGTAAGAGATGCCTTAAAATGATGTGCTTGTTTTAAAAACAGTGACATCTGCCTGTACAAGAGCTGTAAAACTTACAGTTGGTCGGTGTATGTATGAGGGCTGAAACCTTCCTCTGAGAGAGAGATTAAATGAAAAGAGTAATGAATGAGTTGCTTTTATTGTGGGTAGAAGATTATGCATACCTTATACATAGTTTATACTTGTTTGTTTTTTTCAATCTTTAAGTAGTAGAGAATTGTGAAAGGAATGTGCTGGGCCTGGATTTGAATTGATCGTGGTGATAAGGATTTGGACAGATCCTTTATTTGCATCTTTCAAACAAACAAACAAGTTATTTTTCTGTTCCGTCCGCTTGCTCTCAATAGATGTTGTTGGCTGCTTAGCATCTCTAAAGCTAATATTGTGGTGTTATGAAAGCTTGTTTTGGTCAGTACTTAATTTCTGTTTTTCTTTTGTCAGCAGTCATGCAGCAGGTCCTGGATAACCTTACTGATCTGCCCACGTCAACAGGCGCTGAAGAAATAGACCTGATTTTCCTGAAAGGAATTATGGAAAACCCTATTGTAAGATCACTTGCTAAGGTATTTAAACTTGCTGCTCTGAGTAGAATCTGGAAATATTTTCACTTTTAAAATATTGTGTGAACATTGAGTATGGATTGAGTTAGTAACAATGGCTTTTAGGGATGGTACATCTTATTAAAAGAGTTGAAGGAGTTCTTGAAGGTGAAGATTTGGTACAATGTAATTTCTATGCATGCTGATTTCTTGTTGTATGGAAGATTCTAGAGGAAAAAGAAAAATTCAGAGACTCCAGAAATAATGTGGTAACATTGTTTATAAAGAAAATGTCAAAATACTTGCAATTAGAAGCAGTTGGCTTTAACACAGTCTCATGACCACTGTTGTGTGCAAACCCCATATGCCTTCTAACTTTCAACACTTTTGCCAAAGATGAAAAGTGAGAGTAATAACCTTCTTTCTTCCATGGCATAAACAAGTTTTCTTTTTTTCTTTGGCTTAAAACGACTTTCTGATCAGCCCAGTGAAATATTATCTTCGTGCCCTTTCCTGGATCTCAGAGTAATGGTGGGACCATTGGTTGTCAGCTCTCTGAGACAAGGGCTATCTTTAGTTTTGGTCTTGCACTACAAAGGTCTATTATTCGTAGATGGTAGCAATCAATTCTAAATATGTAAGGTGATATTTACAAAAAATCTGTGGACTCTATAATTAAAATGTAGCTTAAATTGCCACTAGGAGATGGAGTCAATATTGCACAGCACTTAAATTCTTTCTTAGTCTTATTTCATAAAAATAAGTGCCTTTCATGAGGAAAAAACAGTTGACTTAAATGTAGCTGTCTCCTTAATAAGAATAGACATCTGAAAGCAATGCCCTTTTGGCAGGCATGAAATACTCTGTTAAGCTTAAGAATTGTTGTGCAGGGATTTTGCTCAGTATAAAGATCTTGAGAGGAAAACTTCTCATAAGAATTCACATAAGAATTTACTTCTGTTCAGCTGTTCAAAAAAATTGGTTGTAAGTAGAAGACATTGCATAGTAATAAACTTAGAAATAATGGAAGTGTCTCATCTGCTGGTGAGATGACTGCAGAGGGAAAGATTTGTGTACGAAATTTACTAGAGTAAGTAAAAGCATTTTCTTACTTAGAGTTGTTTCCAACTTCTGTATCTGCTGCACACATCATCTTTAATTTAATTTTTATCATGAAGAAAATGTTCATTGCATAGCATTTTTTTCCTATCAAGAATTTTTGCTTTAATGGCCAATTACAATTCTGTGGAATTTAATGACTAGGAGATGTAAAAACGTGCTTGTAATGGAAACAGAGTCTTAACTATAAACTTCGTTTATCTACAATATTGAAAGGTTTTAATTGTGTTCATATGGCATGACCTCACTTATATTTTCTTTTGTAATTATTTCAGTATAAAACCCAAAAACTCAGTCCTAACCAGCAGAGCTAAATAAGGACAAGATCAAAATGACAACATATTTCAGGAAGTATATGTCGTTAATATACGGCCATTTATCTCTGAAAAATACATAAAACTTGTTTTTCTGTTAGAAGAGCTAGTTTTCACAGAATAGGCAATTCTTAGGACCCTGAGATAGTCAGATTATTTAAGCAGATTAATTTTAGACCAGGCCAGAAACATAAAAGCTTTTTCATTTTTCTTTGTTAGTCAATTACTAAGACTCATCATTAGGTAAAGTATCCCAAAAAGGACAAAAAGAAACTTAGGGAAACGTGCCATGAGCCATACAAGCTTGTTTTTTCTTCTCTATCCTTAAAAAACATGAAGATAAGCAATAAGCAAAGTAGTTAATTAGTTTATAATATTTTGCAATGCAAAGTTTGGCTAATCATTTATAATTGTGTTAAGTTCATCTGATACTTTTTCTGTCGGGAGTAAAGGCATTGAAGTGGAAATTACAGATCTTTTTTTCAGATAGGATTCTTTTACTGTACCTTTCCATTTTTTAGTGAGTGGTAGGGGAAAGGGGATGTAGCTGTAATCACTGTAAAGTGCATTTTCCTTCATTTACTGATGTTTAAGCTCAATCCTAAGTAGCGTTTAGAATTGTTATTATTGGATTTGGAACATGCATGAATATTACTCGGTTTTGCTACTGAACTGTCTTATCTTATTTGGGGTGAAGGGTGAGGATATTTGTATTTAGGTTATATTCTGTTGTATTTTAAAGAAAATAAGTGAGAAAGAAGGTAACCTGTACTCTCTAATCTTACAGAGGTGTTGGAGTATGTTTAAAAGTCAATAGAATTGTGTTTCTACTTGCTTGTAAAAAAAGTAAACTTTATAAGAAGGGCGTTGTTTAGTGTGTGTATTATGTAGATAATAGCATTCCCTCATTAAGGAGAATGTGTGTAGGTGCCAAGCTTCTTATGACTTTGTAATCACGGTCATTTGGTTTGGTGTTGGTGTTGGGGAATGTTTGAAATGTCTTTCTCTATATTAAGTTACCCTTTCCCATGTTTGATCATCAGTCCTGCAGAAATAACATTTTATACATATGAAGTAGAATTTAATGCTCGGATGATTTCAAGAACCAAAGCTTTCTGGTTTTAGCAAAAATTTATTTTAACATCTGTTTTGAAGCACTAATAAGAAAGTAGATGTGTGCGCATACCTTCAAATTACATATGTGTGAAGTGTATATAGATGACTCACAAATATATCTGTTATTTGTTGTGTTTTTTACTTGCCAAAGCGATTGGTTTTTTTTTAACTTCTTGCTGCTATGCTGTTGTAAATAACTCTTAATTGAGTGCCTTGAGAATCTTAGTTATTTTTGGCCTCCTCTTATTCCCTAATTTTACTGCACTACCTGTAATAAATAAGTGAAGCATTCGGATTAATAAGATGTTTCTCTTGCAGCAAAAAGCTCCTGCCTTTCAATGAATTAAGTATTTGCAGCATTTAGGAAAGGATTACGCCTGCAACAACTGCTCTAGAAAGAGATAAAAAGTTATCACAACATAGTTGAGGTTGGAAGGGACCTTGAGAGGGTATCTAGTCCAACCCCCTGCTCAAGCAGGGTTACCTGGAGATGGTTGCCCAGGACCATGTCCAGATGGCTCTTGAATATCTTCAAGGAGGGAGACTAACCTCTCTGGGCAAACTGTGCCAGTGCTCAGTCACCCTCACAGTGAAAAAAGTGTTTTATTATGTTTAGACAGAGGTTCCTGTGTTTCAGTTTGAGCCCATTTCCTCCTGTCCTGTCACTGGGAACCACTGAAAAGAGCCTGGCTCTGTCCTTTTTTCTGTATTTATATCCATTTATGAGATCCCATCCTGACTCTTCTCCAGGCTGAACAGTTCCAGCTCTCAGCCCTTCCTCAAATGTGAGGTGCTCCAGTCCCTTTGTCATCTTTGTGGCCCTTCGTTGGACTCTCTCCAGTATGTCCAGAACTGGACACAGTAGTCCAGGTGTGGCCTCACCAGTGCTGAGCAGAGCTCAACTTTCTGGCAGCAGTTTTCTTAGTGCAGCCCAGGATAGTGTTAGCCACCTCTGCCACAGACCTCTTCAGCACTTACTTTAGTTATACAGACTTTCCTTTAGAATTTGCTGTTTTGAAGATGTTTGAATGGGAGGAGCCTGGGGTAAATGCTTCTCTTGCAGATTTTTTTTTTTCTGAGTGAATCCCACAGTTCCTTTTTTTGTCATTTTTCAAGAAGGCACACATGTACTGGGTTCTAAAGCAAAAAAAGATCTAAGGTGCTGTATCATTCAGAGTGGACTGTTTGGTGTATATAGCATAGAGGTTACAGGAAATAAGGACACACAAGAATCTCTGACAGGTGCTGCTCATAAAGTTTGCTGAGTCACATAGTTAAGCATGCAAAGTCCTTCAGCAGTTTATAAAGATAAAATACACGGATTATACCATATGTATTTTTTTCCGGCTTTCCTGTTAAAGATTGCACCAATAAATTATTTAAAAGGTTTATAAATTGGAACTGCTTGAAATTTATTTACAGTATAGTCTCATATATTTAATCTTACAGGCTCATGAGCGACTGGAAGATTCTAAACTTGAGGCAGTCAGTGACAACAACCTGGAGCTGGTGAATGAAATTCTTGAAGACATCAGTCCCTTAGTAAATAAAGATGAGAATATTGCAGAATTGGTTGGAATACTCAAGGAGCCTCATTTTCAGGTGCCACCTTTTTCCTGTGTATTACCATCTGAACTGTCTCAGTATCTACATATGGATCTAGAAATAATAACCAAGCAAAACCTGACCTGTAGCAAACTTGAATATGTAGGATTTTACTCTGAATGAAAGGTAAAACAGAAGCCATGTGGGGTTAAAAATGAGCATGATTTTTATGTTACGATATCACCTCAGGAATATCTTCACTCATTGTATGAAAATCCACTGGAATTTCTGTTATAAATCTTGGACAAACATTTACTTCCTATATGACTGGAGTTTCCATAACAATTCCCTGAAGGTTTTATCCTTAGTATTTCGAGGTGGTCTCTCTCAGTTCCTGATACTGACCAGTCTGCACTTGGGGACATGAATTATGAAAACTAATACTACTATATTCCTGACCCCAATTTTTCTGTCTTTTGATCAATATTTTAATCTATTTGAGAACCTTACTGCTTATCCAAAAGTAGCTTAGTTTCTTTAAAAGACTTTGATAAAGGCCTTTTGGAAATTGGTCTATATTATCAACTGTAACTGCCTCACTGCCATGCTTGGTTACTCTTTCAAGGAACTTAACTAGATTTGAGAAGCATGACTTCCCTTTATTAAAGCATGTTAATGCTTTCCCATGATCTATGTTATTCAATCATTCTGTTTTTTATGGAAACTTCTAATTTGTGTTGTATCAACATCAGTCTTACTGGTTTGCAGTTTGTTGACTGTTCCTTGGAACCCAGTTTAAAAATTCATGTAATGATTATTGCATGCTATGAAGAAGATTGCGTGCTGCTGCTTTCACTATACCATTGCATGAGTCATGGGTATGTAAGAGAAATAAGCTATTTCTAGAGCTCCCTACTTCATTTGCTGCAAAACCTGGATGGGACAAAAGAATTAGGTATGAAAGGAAGAGAAAAGACTATTTGATGGTTAAGATAGTTAAATGCTGCCCTGGAGAACTAACCTATCCTTCACTCTGTCAGAATTAGAGTTCATTAAAAAAAAAAAAGAAAAAGTCTGAAGCAGCTGTAAGTTGTTGGTTTGGTTTTTTTTCATTTCTAAGTGCTTGTTGTGAGTCTCGTTTGCAGAAACAATGAGTAGTTTTGGCTGCTGCATACAGGCAAAAAGCAGCTAGCAACTTACTTTTTCAAAGTAGATCTGAAGTGATTCAGTTTGGAAACCTAAAATTAGGGCATGCTTTTCAGCCCTTAATTCTGTGCTTCCGTTCCCCGTCTGGAGGCAGGCAACATAGACAGCTGAGGCCAAAGTAGTATTGTTAATGTTAAAGTGTTTTTATTTAACTGATATCATCATTGTGCCCACTGTAGCAGAGCTTTTAGGAAAATTTACAGACCAAAATGTGGGTGCAGTACTCTTTCTAACACTTGGGGAGGCTACCTCTCTCTCTCTCTCTCTCTGAAAAGGATACAGAAAATTAGCTCAATACTCAAGAAATAAGTGCTATCCTTTCTGCTTCATTTGGCGCAAGGAGGCATATTCCAATTTCTGCGAGAAGGGACCTGTAAGGAAGAATAGAAAAACAGAATGTCATTTGTAATTATAGAAAATGTAATTTGCATCCCTTCTCCAGTTCAGTAACTGTGTAAACAAGCTATCTTGACTTGACTCTAGTAAGTTTCACAGACACTATTGTGTAACTGTTTTAGAGGCAGATTCTGTGTTTTACAAATGAATGGTGCCACTTTATCACAGCGACATTTTACAGTTGTAACCTGCCTTGGCATACAAGTATCAAATGTGGTATACAAGTCCTCAGTAGCATAACCTATTTGAATTTATCATTTAGTGCCAAAAGTACCGAATTACGGAGCTCCATTTCTTTTGCATATTTTTATAGAAGAACACTGGGGATGGACTGGCTTCTGTGTTTGACTGTTTGTTCCCTCCTCCCTCTGTTTTCTCACTTCTCCTTTCATTCCTTTATTTTAGTTCCCTTCCCCTTTTTGCGTCTTTTAGTTTTAACTGAATTTTTCAAGAGTCAAAGTGTGGAAGATACTAAGTTCTTCTGAGTGCCATGGTACTGATGGCTAGCCATCAGGCCGATAGGAATTGCAGAGCCAGCTGACACAGGCAGTGCATAGAAAAGGCATTAGCAAGCCTTACCAGACAGTAGCCTGAGAGCAGAAGAGAGGAGTGGTAAGAGAGGTTGCCTTGGGAAAGGAGGGAGGAGTTGAAAGTATCGCACAGTTGGAGTTACTTTCACCTTTCCAACAATTATTCAAGCCATTCATGCCAAACAGTAGATTCTGCTGGCAAAAAAACGCTTAATCTGAAAAGCAGCCAATATTTTCTTCTAATAGTTAGCTTTATAATGGCTAATCATACCTTTAAAATGTTTCATTTAGAAAAGTGATTGTAAGGTCTCTCCTAGACAGGTCTTAATTTATAGGGTTATTTTCCCCACGTATTCATGCCTTCTTACCAGCCCCTCTGGTTTCTCCAAGATCTTAAATGATTTCCTCACTTTTTCAGAACAGCCTTTAAAAATATCTTTTCACATGTACACAAGGGACTTGTAGTCCATTTATTAAGCCCTAATATTTAAACAGTGTTATCAGAGAAGACTAGTACATATTTAGTACATAAAGGAGAAATGGAAGTATTTTAAGTACTTTTGAGGCCTGAAGCGTTAGGAAAGGAGTCCTGAATATAAGACCTTAGAGTTGTTCTGCTCTTGTGTATTCCTCCCTGGCCCTCATTTGTAATTTAATTGTTCTATTGAATCACAGTTGGAAAAACAGTTATTATATAGGGCAGGCAATTCTTTGTAAAATGTATAGATCGTGCTGAGAATTTTTTTAGGATAAACAAATTTTGAATTTGAACTTGGCTCCAGCACTGTAGAAGCCTTAGATGTTTAATGTTTCTTTGTTTACTGAATTTTTAATCAATTTTTAATTTTTTTTTAACCTGTCAAATTAGTACAGCTAGAGAAAGCTGCTGTGATGATGTGAATATTCTAAATTTATGGATTGCTTATGACAGTATTTTGTACGTGACTTGTCTCACAGAAGACTCCATGTCTGTTGTGTGATATCTTAGAACTCTGCATATCACAAAAATGCCTGGTTCCAGCAACCTTGCCATTTTTTCTATGAGAACCTTCCTACAGTTACCCAGTCTCGGATAGTCAGCTGATCCTGTTTACATACCCTCTGTAGAGGAAACTTTGAACTGGTTTATGCCTGTTGATTGTTCAGCCCATGTTGTTTTGCACATTTTGGCAGTGGTTTTATAAACATTTTAGCACCGGGAAAGCAGAGATTGCAGAGGAGCTCAGGAGCACATTACGTTTTCCAATACCGTAAGAAAGAAACAAGTCAAGTTCATGTGACTATTTCTCAGGTCACTCAACCGTATTACTGAAATAAGAAAGTCACTGAGTGACATAAAATGTTGGCGTGTAGTCTGGCAGTGGATACAGACACATTGCCAGGTGGCTTTAAGTGTTCAGTCTTAGGACTGTATGCCGTGACCTGGCTGGCTGGAAGCAGTCCTCTAAAACTGGTGTAGATTCTTGAGTTTTAGAACTGAGAGTTAGAAATGGGAAGGTGGTAACCTAACTATGGCTTGTTTTAAGGAAACCAGTAACTGCTTTTCTTAAAGAAACCTTGTTATAGTTGTTGGCAGCAACGTGCAGTGCCTGATAGTCCTTTTTAATTTGAAAAGGGTGACACAGACGGTTAGCTTAGTAGTATTTTTTGATTGTGGGGCAGGTTATAACCCATAAATTATATGAGCTGTACAAACACAGTTATGTGTAAGGCTCCGTTAGAAATCTAGTGGTTTGTGGCCAGAAAGTTTGGGAACAACTTTTTCTAGCATGTGACTGAAAGAGAAAACTGAAAGTGTCATACTGGTGTATCTTCTTGGTTTTGTCAGTGGTAATGTGTTAAAATGTGTAATTGATGCTAGTTGGGTTCATTTTGGAAATGTAGAAAGATCCAAAAATGTTGCTTGCAAACATTGGCAAAGAGAGATCTGTTCTCCTGGTTTCTGGATTAGATGTGTCTTGGATAATGAAGAATTAGAAATTGCTACCATCTGACAGCTGCTTGATTTAATAAATGATTGTTTTTCCTATTTAATTTGATTTGGTTTATGTCCACAGTATCAGAGCAGCCACAATAAAAGCAGCTGTCTCTTCAGTCTTAATGGCAGGGGCAGAATGAGTGAATTAGTACCTCCTTCTAACCTCAAATTGAAGTCTCAGCAGGGTCGTGATGTAATGGGCAGATTAAAATGACTGTTCAGGTTTGTGACACTTTGAGGACTTGCATGTTGAGCTTATAACTGAACTAATAAGGTTGCATAACTTTTAGGTTAGAGGTGGCTTACAGAAGGATGGAGCCGACTGCATAGCAAAATTGTTACATTTTCTTAAATGTTTTCTGCTCATCTGCTCTGCTTTCTAGTAGTTTGCTGTCTTCCCCTGGCATGTGCTCATCACTATCAGTCATAGTCCCTGTGGTGTCTTCTCTTTTTAGCTACTGTGATCTGACTTAGGACTGAATCTCAGCAGGTCACTGTTTGAAACAAGGCTATGTTCTTTGAGGCATCTCCTCTACTTCTTTTCTTCTTTCTGTATCTGTCAGTGAGACTCTCTGTGCTAGAGGATGCTTTGTCTTGAACTACTGCATATGGTGGCTATAAGGTGGCTATAAGGTGTGCCTTTTCCTCTTTAAGACAGGAAATTTCCACTAACTTCACAGGTTTGATCTTGTTTTACCTATATGTATTGTCTTATAATCTTTTCTTTAAATCTTAAAGTATCTTCTATGAGAAAATTGGGTATAAATGTCATTGTCTCCAAAAGACATTTGTATTTATTTGCATTTCCTCCTATTGCTTTTTATTTATATATGTGGATTGGTGAAAACACCATTAACTGTAAGGTCTGAGCACTTATCTTCCAGAAAGTTAATTCTGTTGACTTGATTTGTTTGGTGCTAGAATTCTGCCTTGGCTGTATACAAGCAGAAAGCACTCATTCTGCAGATTGCTAGAAATCCTTGCATACCTGTAATTATCCAAATTACCGCGGAGGAAAACTATTTTACATTAAACACAAGTAACTAATGATGAGTTATCTTCATTTTTTTTGCAGTGGGTTGTTTGTTTACTTTAACCATTTGCTCAGATACTGTCTCATTATATGAAAGACAATGTTAGGTACTTTTTTTTCCATCTTCTTCCCTGCTATTTCATACATTCTTCCCACTTTCATTACGTTTTTCTTATACTTCCTTATGAGGAAGCATTTGTATTCACAAAAGAGAGCATATTTGCCAAGACAGTAGGTTTATCAGTACATGTGAGTACTTATATGTCAATTTTTGCTCCATTCTATGTGAAGTAAGAGTTTTATGGTGTGGTACCAAAAGGACAGATTCAGTGGTTATTCAGCACTAAGTCCTTTTGCAAAAGGTTATTTCATGATTAACAAAAAGGCTTTTCCTGTTCCTTTGCAGTCACTCTTGGAAGCACATGATATTGTGGCTTCAAAATGTTACGATTCCCCTCCTTCTAGCCCAGAAGTCAATAATTCTTCAGTGAACAACCAGATTGTTCCAGTAGATGCTATTCGTATCCTTGGAATTCACAAAAGAGCAGGAGAACCACTGGTAAGTAATTGAAGATAAGTGTGTTTTTCATTTAAAGTGCAAGTGAAAACATTTGCATGTGCCTGATTTCTTGCATTATGATTTAATTATTGCTATTAAGATGTTGTGTGATTAAGTGGGTGACAGGACCAGTGTGGAGAGGCTGAAATAAGAAGATACTTGTGTGTTGTTCATTCTGTTCTCTTTAAAAAAATTATGGGATAGTGAATAGGCAGTCACTAGGCTGAATGACTAACACAACATCTGTCTGGTCCTGATAGAAAATGACAGGATTGCACAGAGTCAAGAACAATAGAGTCATTGTTCAGTCGTATGAAAACCTTGTCTGAAAGTACTTTTGTGTCACCTGGAGCTTATGTGTGTATTAGGAACTTTTACACTGCCATAACTGTTGCTGTCTGTTTGCACTGGGGTGGATAGAATATCCCATAGCTGTGTATTTTTGCTCGAGATAATGGTAAAACGAAATTGAAGTTCAAACGATGGTGAACTAGGTGTCCCATACCTCTTTCAGGGTGTTACGTTTAGAGTTGAGAACAATGATCTGGTAATAGCCCGGATTCTTCATGGCGGGATGATAGATCGACAAGGTCTTCTGCATGTCGGCGACATTATTAAAGAGGTGAATGGCCACGAGGTTGGAAACAATCCAAAGGAATTGCAGGAACTGCTGAAAAATATTAGTGGCAGTGTCACTCTGAAGATTCTCCCCAGCTACAGAGATACTGTTATTCCTCAACAGGTCAGTAGCACATTTCTAACAATTCTGTCTAAAAAACCTCCTCTTTGGTACTTTATCGCATGAGATTATTTTGAGATTTTGGATTAGACGTATTTTAATTGTTTTGTGTATTTAATGCTTGCAGGGCAGCTAAACCGTAGATACCTGTTTTCACCATTTAATATGTTTTGGAAATGGGTTTATTCAATATCATATTGAATAAGCCTCATATGCTTGCCTAAAAAATTCTAATAGAATTCAGAAACACATTGAACTCAACAGATGAGCTTGAACTCCCTGGCTTAAGTCGGAATTTGGGTGGTGGCTTTTCCTTAGCCTTCTGTTGTTGCTGTAGGCTGTTGATTTCTCCACTGCAAAAGTAACTTGTGGCTCTAAAATCAGTGCATTTGAACCATCTTATGAGACAGTCCTTCAGGTAGTGAGTCTTAATGCCCATGACTGTGATGGGTTATGCTTACATGAGGAGATGCGGAGGCAATGTGCTCTTTTTGAGGCAGGTGTAACTGCTTCCTTTACTCCCCAACCTGGTAGAAAAAAAGTCAAAGATATTTCCAGTCTACTGGTGCAACTTACTGGTTCTTCCCCTGCATCAAAATGGAGTCTTAAGCAGGCACGTATCGTGTTTGTTTTAAAACATTGAGTTCATGGTGAAATTAATTCTTAAGAGTCCACAAGCCTTGAATACAGTGTTCGCATTCTGAGAATTTTTTTTATTTTTAAGTAATTTAAAAGTTGGGCAGACATAGTGCTTAGAGATATAGTTTAGTGATGGCTTCTGTCAGTGGTAGGTTGATGGTTGGATTTGATGATCTGAAAGGTCCTTTCCAACCTAGGCAATTCTATGTATCTGTAATTGAGTTGGACATACCGAAATGCAAAAATGTGTGTTTTGTAATACGTTGTCCAAATAGAACAGTTGGCTTTTTATTTTTATCATGAAGCTCTTTCAAACAAGGTTTACACTGTTGATTATTCTACTCTCTCAGCTGGTATATGCCAGTTTTTTCCATATATTGTACTTTACTTGCCAAATTCAACTTTGATCATGTCAAACTCTTTATGCTGTAGGTAAAGATGTTACTTCATTTTGACAGAGAAATTAGTAAGAATGTGTTCTATAATGTTTAAGCTTTGTAAATTTTTACACATTTCAGGTTTTTGTGAAGTGTCATTTTGATTATAATCCATATAATGACAACCTCATCCCATGCAAAGAAGCAGGTTTGAAATTTTCTAAAGGAGAAATTCTTCAGATTGTAAACCGGGAAGATCCAAATTGGTGGCAGGTTGGTAAAAAGATTGAAAAAATAAAATAAAAACCTGAAAAGCTTCACCAGTTGCCTTAATAATAAACTTGTAATCGTCTTCCATTTAACAGTAGATATAAGGAAAAATATTTACACTGCAATATACTACACTGTTAATATCAAGATATTAACAATTGAAATACTAGAGAAAATTGAATGGTATAAATTGTGTATGTAACACTCATTTTGCTATTACTGCTATTTATTTGTCTTTTTTCTTACACGATAAGCCTAGACGATCCAAAATCAGTTTAAGTGCACAATTTCTAGCAGAAAGTCTTAGGCTGATTGTGTTAATTATGGTAAGACTTCCCTGACAGTGACTGTGGAAGAAGTGGACCCCTTCCTGAGTGCTCAGAGTTAAGGAGAGAGAAGGGAGTTAACCCTGGGGATTTGAAGAGGGGTGAGAATAGGTATTTGGAGAAGCTGTATCTTTTATTTCCACAGTGGTGGTCAGTGTCTGTGAGCTGTCATAATGTTCATAATCAAAGTGTTTGGCACTATTTCAGATATTAACAGTTCATCCTACTTTAAGGTTGTATTTCTACATTCAGTCCTTCAGTAGAAATGTAATCCGGTGCTTATGGTATTTTTATTTTTTCTAAGACATTATACACAGAGTTAAGCATCATCAGTGCCCTTGAAAGTGGGATGAGTGTATCCTTAAGATGCTTTTCTCAAATTGCAAGTGGCAGGGGCAATCTAGGCAAATAGTTTAGCATTATTAATTTTCCTTTCTACCCTTAGATTGCTCACTCTTTGCTAGATAACAAGCAATAGTGAGCCAGACGTTACTTGAGAGCAATATATATGACTTCTTTAAGGGCAACAAAAGTACTCGGATATACATCAACAACTGTGACTTCTTTAAGGGCAACAAAAGTACTCGGTACTTGCTAAATTCTGTTGCTTGTCAGTGACAGTAATAACAGAAAAAAAAGAGACTTAAGAACTGTGAGGGAAGACAGAAAATGTATTACTGCCAAGTTAATTAATTTCAGAAGTTAGAGACTCCAAAACTCTGGAGCGGTTTGACATTTAGCTTGCATGCTGTCTCCTGTATTGCTTCTCAGATTCTCCAGTTGTAACCTGTGGGAGTCCAGGGGAAATAAATCTTGAAACATTTGATCAGTGGCAAAAATGTAATGTGTTAAACCAGTATAGTGTGCTGCAAGGATTGCTGTGCACATCATGCCACTGGGAAAAAAAGATAGTTTTTCCCTTGTGCTTTCTAGAAATGCTAGACTGTTTAAAAACTTGCTAACTATGAAAAATCAGTTAGTCATAGGTAAAAGCATACAAGTTGAAAAGCAAACAGTTCCTGTTAGCAAGAGAGAGGCCAACCACGTATGGACAAGAAAAGTGTAACATTTCATAACTAAGTGTTTGTACATCTTAAGCTTGCTGAGAATTGAGCTTGCCATGAAATTATTTTATAGGGAATCTTTGCCAAACTTTCATTACTAGGAATACTGAAGTTACTAAGATTTTTAAATCTGTTAGTGCAAAAAGCTTGAAGGCATGATTAGGCATGAAAGTCTTGAGATTTGTCACTTGGGAGTTCAATATCTGGAGCCATAGAAATCCTTTTAGGATTTTGATGTCAAAGGTTTATGGCTATAGGAGCTTACTAACTTAATGGGAAGCAGTAATGAAACTTCTATTTTATTTTTTTCCTGAATTCTAGTACTCAATGCCAAGATGCTGCTACTGTTAGACAGACTTTTAATACCCACATCTGAGTTTAAATTGCCAAGTCTCCATAGTAAATGTATCAATACTCACATTGCGAAACTCGGGCAGTGTGAAAGTCACCCAACCCCACATTGATGAGAAAAATGCTTCCCACAAGTAACCTATGATTTTCTTTTTTTTTACCCCAGGCTAGTCATGTCAAAGAAGGAGGAAGTGCAGGGCTTATTCCTAGCCAGTTCCTGGAAGAGAAGAGAAAGGCCTTTGTTAGGAGGGACTGGGACAACTCAGGTGAGATTTAATGCATTTCAGGCATAGGATTTGATCTGACTCCATTTGTTTTGCTTTTCCTGCCTTTGTAGATACTAGAAAACTACTGTGTGAGAATACACAGAATATTGCAAAATGCTAATTATTATATTTTGGCTTTGACTGAAGGACAAAAGCTGAAGTCTATGCTTAGTCTTCATAGATATATGAGTCAGTTTTGCCACCTGCTGATGAAAAGCTAAATAAGGTGGGAAAGGCATAAGAATTAGCTCCTTTTTTTTTGGTTTAATTATGTTTTTATAGTATGCACTGAAAGTTAACAAATTAATCATGTTTGAAGAATTTTTCTGCTGCTTTTTACAAAGCTTTCTAGGGAAATTAACTTTTTCTCTGTGTTTGGTTCTTACTGTACTATTTGATGTGTACGAAAATAGATGTGATCTCCTACCCTAGAAGATATGAAATTCTAAAATAGTCCTTATAAATTTAATTAGATTAAACTTGCATATGTTCATGTAATAAGCCCTGGAAAAATACGTTTAACAAAAATGATGAGTTTGTCTCAATTTTTATTTCTAGGGCCTTTCTGTGGAACAATAAGCAGCAAAAAAAAGAAAAAGATGATGTATCTCACTACAAGAAATGCAGGTATCTCTTAATATTATGTATGAGTCAAATTTCTCTAGGCTTCTAAACTTTGCAGTCTAGTGTTTTCAAAGCTGAAAGATTTCCCATTCTGATGAGTCTTGAATTTTCTTCTTGGAAGTAAAGGTAACAATCTGACCTTATGCTGCCTATGAAAGGGTATCTGTTTTATTCCCATGCCAATTTAAAGCTAGAAAGCTTGTATCAGACTTAATGCCCTTTGAGTACTATTTATATTCACACGTGGCCTGTTGATATAGAGCAGGACTGCTTTATTTTTTTTTTTCTTGCAGTACTGTGTATGAAGTATTTTTTTTGTCCATTTCTCAATATAGAATTTGATCGTCATGAAATCCAGATCTATGAGGAAGTAGCCAAAATGCCTCCTTTTCAGAGGAAGACACTGGTCTTAATTGGGGCCCAAGGAGTGGGGCGAAGGAGTTTGAAGAACAGGTTTATAGTACTGAATCCTACCAGGTTTGGAACTACAGTGCCATGTAAGTTGCCAGCATTGTATATATCGTATACTAAATATATATATGTATACATATATACACAGTATGATATTGTAATATCGTACAGTGAGTCTCTGATTATCTGCAAAATATCTGATGTTTATCCCAGTGATTCAGGGTAGGAGTAATTTTATCACAGTGTAAAAGTTGTATAGAGTGGGAAAACAAAAGACTCTTTATCTTCTCAGGCAACTGAACTAACGTATGATGACAGTGAAAATATTTGTAACCAGCAATTAAATGTTACTGATGCTGCAGAAGAGCTATTTTTGCATGTGCAGTATTTCAGTCTGGTAGGTTTCTTCAGTGAAAGTCGGCATCAGTTACCGAGGGGATTCTGGAAGTTTCCTAGTCTCCTGTACTGAATAGCCAGTGGAGTTTCTCAGGTCTGCCATTTAGTTTTCCATCTGTAGAAGCTCCCTAGGCTTTATAAATTGTTACTGTAGTATTAGAAATGTAGGGAAAAGCAACAAACTTCCAATCAAACTGAAGTGTTTGTGATCTCCAAGATTTTTATGACAATCTGATGTTTCAATACATCTCGCCTTAAGCCCATGATCTTTATTTTTTTTCTCCCTGTCAGCTTCAGAAAAGACCCCTTCCCTTACTCACATTCTGTTTTCTTGCCTTCCATCCTGATAGTTACTTTGCTCATTTACAAGATCTTCATTTTTTTTTTAACTGCCCCCTCCTTTTGCTGCTGACCGGAGAAATCCACCCTACCTGCATTATTATTCTCCTCCTGCCACCTGCTTTTCAGAATATCAAAACCAGTCGGTTCCTTTCTGCTTTCAGTGGGCAAGGAGCAGATCTGATAATAGGGGAGGAGGGACAGGTCTCAAAGATAAATTGTGCAACACGAGAAAACCAGTTTCTCTCACTTGCTGAATCTGTAACACCAAAACCAGCCAAGGCACTAAGAATTGGTATGTGTGACTGATAACAAGGTTCACTTCTCAGTGTTGCTTTTTAAAGAAGTCTTCCCCTAGGAATCTCATTATTTTATATTGGCAAAACAGTAAGAAACTTTATTACTTCTAAAATTCTTTATTCCCTTTCAAAAAGGCCCTCAAAATTACTGGTTTCTTTAAAATGCTATTTAGATGCTTAAATATATAGAAGTAATGCGATGCATTGTTAAAATGCATTTGCTTGGAGCTCTTGTTCACCCCTCAAAGGCATAAAAATTAACTTTTCCAACCTAGCAATCTGACAATGTGGTCACACACATGCAGTACACAGTTTATTGTATATAGAATATCCTCTCTACTTTTGATTTTAAGTAGGATAATCAGTAATCTTACTTGGCCTGTTTCTCCAATCAGAAGAAAACTCTCCTGGTTGTTCACAAATGAATATTGGGTTGTGTGTTGGGGTTTTTGGTTTTTTTGAGTTTTGGGGATTTTTTAAATGGCTGAAACATTTAAATGGCTGAAACAGTGAATCCATTTCGCTATGGGGAGAAGCATGTCCTCGGTGTTGAGTTCTAATCCATCAAATGGTGCTCTGTGTGTCTTTTTTTCTTCACTGTGAAGAAACTGTGAAGTCATCTTCTGGCTGTAAACTGTTAAAGCTCATTCTCCAAAATTTATTTCAAACTGATATGATTACTTTTTGTATCCTATAAACCATTATAGCTTTAATCTTTCTGTAAAATCTTGGCTAAAACTAGATGTTCTAGTAATAACGTTTATTGCTAACAGCTTGAGAAGATCATTTCTCCTGGGATGAGCATTTTCTATAATGATGATGTTGATAGGAATTACTGGAAGGGGGAGAATGGTTTTCACTTGTATCACCAACTTGCACCAAGTGGGGATGTGGCACTAAGTGGTGATACAAGTATTACCAAAAGGATCCACTCACTGTTATCTTTAATATATTCTAGAGTTCAAATCTAATTAAATGCAAGCAGTGGGCAGATAATATGATGATAGGACAGCAAAGTGGGTGATAATCTGATTTTATTTCTTTTTATTTAATTTTATTTATTTTCACTGCCTTGCTTAAATAATGTCTGTGCTGCACAGTTTAGCCAATACCCAAGACAGCTGCTAATGTTTTACTTAAATACAGGCTTTAATCTCTCTGTGGTGAATTTACCTTGCTTTAAAAAGGGTAAGTTGTCCTGGAAAGCAGCATTATCTGGCCTCCACCCAAGTTGTGCTACGGTGGCTGGGCTGCTTCTGATATTTAAGCTAACTTTCTGTGGAGCTGGCTCTGGTAATTCTACTCTGAATAACAGGGCAAATAGAGCGAGCAAAGTATGTGCTAAGGTTTGGGAGGAGCAGATTTTGATGTGTGCTCAGTTATTTTCAGAAGTACATTTGACGTTTGGGAATTAAATTTCCATTTGATTTCCAAGCCTTGTAAATAATTACTTTATTAAGTGAATAATTAAAAAGATGTTATGAAAGAGCATTATATATGGCATGAAGGAGTAATAGGCAATAAGCAAATGGGTTGGTAAGCAACTTACAGGAAAGAATAGAAATAAAGGGAACAGAAGGGGCTTGGCTCAGTTTTGAAACTTGCACTAGAATAATTAATTAATCTGTATATGGAGCAATTATAACTGTATATTAATGTGTATTATACTGTCCCTAATGTAATAGGCAGTCCATATTTGTATTGCAAATATAAAAATAAAGCATTCAATTTCTATTTTAAATTTTTTGTTTAGTTACTTCAAGAAAGCCCAGGGATGATGAAAAGGATGGGCAAGCGTACAGATTTGTGTCACGAGCTGAGATGGAGATGGATATCAAAGCTGGCAGATATTTAGAGCATGGAGAATACGAAGGAAATCTTTATGGCACCAAAATTGATTCCATCCTTGAAGTTGTTCAGACAGGAAGGACCTGCATCTTGGATGTGAATCCACAGGTACATCATTTATAACGTTACACTGCACGTGCAGGGGTGGAACGCTGCAGAGATCTGCCTTTGCATTGGAAGGCTTCTTACCTGGTTTAGAGATTACAGTAGTGACTGGATTCTGGTATCTCTGGCCCTTGGTTGGAACAGGTTAAAAAGATGGAAAAAAACCAGCTTAGATTCTGCGTAGAAGAGGAGTCTTGCAGAGCAGTAAGTGATCTTTTTAGCCAAGGGAAGAACGATGCTGAGCATCTCAAAAGGAGAGGAGTTTCTAAAATAGAAATAAGAATCTTTGCGTATGTGTTTCTGCCCATTGTAACAGATAGTTTTGCAGCGCCCCTTAAGCAATGGGGACATGTGGTGAGTCACTCTCAAACTTAGGGTTTTTTTTTCTTTTTCTTCACTTCTAGGCTCTGAAAATATTGAGGACTTCAGAATTCATGCCCTATGTAGTGTTTATTGCTGCGCCAGAGCTGGAGACGTTGCGTGCTATGCACAAGGCTGTGGTAGATGCTGGAATTACAACCAAACTTCTCACTGTAAGCAGATTATTTCATATGTAGTTTGCTTTGAACAAGATATTCTTAGATGTTTTTTTTTACCTTTCATTTTAGATTGAATTTCTTCTGAAATTAATGTCTCTAAGAAAAGTTAGGCAATACTTTTGCTGATTACTTAGTAGAAGTTAATCAAATGCTATGTATAAGGCAGATTGCTTCTTTCTTAAAAATAGACCTCTTACAGAGAAGTGTTGATTACAAAAATTACTTGTAATGTGTTCTTTGGGAAGTGTCACCTTTGATTATTTGCATAGATATTCGACGGTGGGAATTGTTCTTTTATGTAAATGTCTTTCCTTCACTTTCCCCATCTCTCCCTCCCGAAATGTTTTCTTCAGGTTTGTCTTATAATATGTGTGCTTTAAAAATGGAATCTGTAAAATGCAACCAAAAAACCCAAGCAAACAAAAAAAAACCCACACCAAAAGCCCACCACACAAAAACCCCAACGGAATGCAACTAAGCCTTGTTTCCAGGAGCACACGCTGCACTGGGAATGGCTGGGAGCTGCCGGGGTGAGAAGTGTTGAGTAGCTTCTCTGCCCTGAAGTTCCTTGGATTTGTCCTGTAAAACCAAGTGGCACATTTTGTTCATTCTTTCCTTTTCTGAGATGCAGTGTGTGGCAGAGGGAAATGAGACACGCTTCCTCCAGCGCAGCAAATTATAAATTTTCTGTAGGGGTATGAACTTTCCCAGCTGCAGGACCAAAGCAAAAAAAAAAAAGCCAGATTGAGCAGGAGTAAGAAAACTTCTCCTCTGTGTTCAACAGTAAAGTGATCCCATCTGAGAAAAGCCATGGTTTGCTGAAACTCACAGTGGTGGTGCCACAGCTTAGACAGTAGAGGTATCTTGACAAGGCATTCAAAGCAATAAAATGAGTGTGGGTTAATTTGGACTAAATGAATATGGGATTTTTAGTTGTTTTTTTTCCTTTTCAAACCTGTGAGATCCCATTCTCTGAACCACACGAGAGACTGCCGGGTCCTAGTTGTGGATTCTGGCTATTACAGAGTCTATTATCTCTGCGAGTGCTCTGCCCCAAACGAATTTTGTGATGCCTACACAAGAGGGCAAGGTGAAAACTGTCCAGACAACTATAAAAATAACTTCCTGCACTTCCTAATACTTGATTCCCTGGGGGACACCCTTGCCTTTGTTTCACTTGTCATTGTGAATCTGAATATGGGATTTTTAGTTGTTTTTTTTCCTTTTCAAACCTGTGAGATCCCATTCTCTGAACCACACGAGAGACTGCCGGGTCCTAGTTGTGGATTCTGGCTATTACAGAGTCTATTATCTCTGCGAGTGCTCTGCCCCAAACGAATTTTGTGATGCCTACACAAGAGGGCAAGGTGAAAACTGTCCAGACAACTATAAAAATAACTTCCTGCACTTCCTAATACTCGATTCCCTGGGGGACACCCTTGCCTCTGTTTCACTTGTCCTTGTGAATAATAAAGAGGATAGTTACTTTTAAAATATACATTTATGTATCTTTATGGAGTCTAAATCATATCTGTACACATGTATATTAAGAGTATGTTTTCCCACCTCATATTCTTTTCCTTCCGGAACAAATGAAAAACAAATGTCATTTAAATGATCATGTTCTGCTTGCTCGTGGGGCTTTCTTCATGATTTCTACCATCCTAAGCCATTGCAAAAATTCTGGCTCTTGTGGTGCTACATTTGCTTCTCTCCTTCATTGGCTGTGAAGGAAAGTCTATTCACAAACTTCCTTTTTCATTTTAGCTTTTGTATTTGACAACTGTATCAGGACCTGAAAATATTAAAATGAATATTGTCAAGGGGACGAATCTCATAACTGCTTACAAAACAATTGCCTTTGTGCAAAAGCAGAGAGGAATTTTCTAAGAATGTAGGATTAATGAAACGTAAAAAAAATGCTCAGTGGCAGCACTTCATCAAGGCTTCATAATGTAGGATCGTAAATTTCCTGCACGTTTCACAGCTCGTGTCAGAACTGAAAAAATACAGCAGTAGTTTACAAATGAGGAGGAACTGATGTTTGGTGAGCAAGGCTGAAATGTAGCCCCTAAAAGGAGTTAGGTAGCCTAGAGCTTTATCCTGCTAGAATCGTATCTTTCAGTCTTTTATTTCATAGTAGTTTAATTCTTGGGGTTTTGGGTGTTTTCCATGTAAAGAAAGGGCAGAAGTATATTTACATAACTGATTAACTCGGTCATTCCTAAAGCATTCATTTTATTCTCATTGGATCATCAGTTGCACGTGCAAAACAATTAACTGCCCATTCTTCATGTGCTTCTATTGACTTTTTTGAAAATTGCAAGGTTTGCAAACATTTGGTTGCCAAATTTAATGTTATTGGCACAGTTTGTAATATTTTCAGCCTTTTGAATGCATTTGAGCTTACGTTTTCTGTGGATTTTATGATAAAACTTTCATTAATTTTGAAATACATTCAGTATATAGCTTTAAATAGTATGAATGAAGGGCTATTTCTGTTGTATTTCTAAGGATTTCCCAAGTCTTACGTTCTCAGTAACGTTTAACGTCTCTTCAACAGGACACTGATTTGAAAAAAACAGTGGATGAAAGTGCCCGGATCCAGAGGGCCTACAACCACTATTTTGACCTGACCATTGTCAATGACAACCTGGACAAAGCCTTCGAGAAGCTCCAGAGCGCCATCGAGAGGCTGCGGCTGGAGCCCCAGTGGGTCCCCATCAGCTGGGTGTATTGAGATTTCTCCAGAGGAGCTTAAGTAACAAATAAAATGAGCTGCAGCAAACACCCTAACGTGACGTTGTGTAGATACCGACGGTAACCTACGGCACCTGTGCATTTTTAATCTGTGTATATTCAAAAGTACACTATTCTGAATTTTTATAAAAATGTTGAAGGGAAAGTGTACTTAAATATGTAATTTATTTTAATTTTTCTAACTTTTTACAGATAACCTTTCTATTCATATCACATGAAGGAAATGCGTTTAAGCATTTTTATATGTTTTGATTTAGTACCTTTGCCTTTTTCATCTAAGAAACTTTCAGTCATTCACTTCAACATTTACATCTTGGTCTTACATTTTCACTGTGATTACAAAAAAAAAAAGGATACTTGAAACAATTTTGTAAAACTTGTTAACGTCAGTGTTTAACTGGTCAAAAGCCTATAGCTCTTATTAGGAAAGAACACTAATTTCTTTGAGGGTTTTTTTTTTTTCTTCTTTAGAAATTAATAATTTTATGGGAGCAGAATTTTAAATATTAACAGCAGGAACCAACACCCAGCTCCATTGCTTCTTTGGGCTTAAAGTTGATGCATTCTTGATGTTTCACAAAGTCTTGGTGTCTCTTGATGTAGACGACTGTTGTGTGGGTTCCCTCCTACGTGTCTCTGGAAATACAGCGATTGGTACCGTTCCTGGGAGCACCCAAAGGTGCTGGCCTTGGGGAGCCGGTACGCGAGGTAACGGGGTGCTGGTACGTGAGGTAACGGGGTGCAGTCTGAGAAATGGGGAATGAAGGAGCCTGAGAGAGACCCTGGTAACACGGAGCCTTGTAGAGGGACGCTCAATGGCTAGGAGTATTTATTCGCTCTTGGGAAAACACATTGCTTTAAAAAAAAAAAAAAAAGTAGAAAAAAAAAAAAAAAGAAAAAGGTGGGGGTACATTTTCTTTTCATAGGACATTGTTTGATGTTTGTGTAGTGATCTGTGGCTTAATTTCCTGTGAGATCTACTAGTTCGATATTATCTTTTTGAGTATTTGTGTGCGATCAACTGCTGTATTCTTACCAGCGTGATGTAACGGAATTTCTGTGCTTTTTGTTACATTGGTTTTAGTTGGGTTTTTCGTTAGATAGCTTGTGAATTGGAAGCTTCCTGCTAAAAAGCAATGTTGTTTGTTCCTTTTTGTTTTACGACATATTTCCTTTTGTTCAGTGACAGTTCTCCCCTTAGTAGGCTCATTGATATAATCCGTATTAGGTTCGAGTTCATCAATCAAAACTTGTGCTGATGTAAATTTCTGCTTAACAAGAACAAAAGGAAAGTACAGCTTGTCGCTAAGGCTGGCTTTTCTTGTGACCATATTTTATATTACCGTGTCAGCTGTTGTATATAGTGACATCCAGCATCACGTACCAGGTTAGGTGTCTCCACAGAAGTCATCTGTTTGTTTAATTTCTCTTCCATCTGGTGACAGGCACCTGGCTTTGGAATTCTTTTTCAGCACCACGGAATGCTATCAGAAGGCAACTTCCTCAGAACTATTTCTGAAGGAAAAGAAGCTTAGACACTGTAAAACGGTATTGCTTCCTGGGGCTCTTGAAGACTTTTATGTGCACAAGGGAAAAAAAACTGGAGTTGATGCAGTATAGGAAAAGTGTAAGTCTCAAACAAACCACCAGTAACTACAGGTGGTTTTAAAAATCCTATAAAGTTGGTTGTTGTGGGGGAAAAGGGGCAGGGAGGGCTTGAAATCCCAGCGTGGAAAATCTTAGTCAAAACTGCGTATGGCACAGGAGGTCTTTGTGAGTCTTAATAGTGGGATTTCAGTCTTTTAGAGGGAATCTGAAATTCTCCAAGGAAAATTTTACCACTACTTTGTTTTGTTGTTATACTTTTCAGGGTGTGTTTTCTCTGGTTTTCAGTTTGGCAGAGCTTCTAAATGTGGCACCAGCGTGAGAGGTTTATTGTCCTTTCCCAGGGGACATGTTCTGTGATCCTGTCTCTCCGAGGCTGCTTTGGGAGCGGGATGGGGCGTTGTGTGCAGCAGCAATGACAGCAGAGCCATTCCTTGCCTCTTCTAATGATTTGCTGTTGGCACTCTGTGCCCAATGTGACCAAGCTGGGTGTGTGTACTGTGTCATGGGAGACCTACACCTGCTGTAAATAAGATGTGCTGTCTGGACAGATACGATGCCTTTTCATTATGAGTTAGAAAATACTCTATTTGTGATGCCAAAAGTGGGCTGAGCTCCCTCTTCCCTAATGAATGGAATGAGAAGATTGTTCAGTTTCCACACCGTAGTACTTTATATTGCACATATCACTTCTTTTCATCATTTTTTTTCCGTAAGTTTCCTTAACGAAATGAAACACATGAATCCTGGGCACCAAGGTTTAGTCAGGAAAACCTCTCTGCTCCTGTTTGCATCCCAGAGAGAATACTGGCAGAAGAGTTCCCCTAGTTAGCAATATCTCCAAATAGCCGTGTATTTGCTAAAGCCTAAAGCTTTTGCTTTCCCCACAGGGTCACACAGGGGTTTTGCAATCAAGCCGTGGGCACATGGAGCCTGGTGGCTGACGTGTGGTGGTGAGAGTGTAGGTGGGAGTGAGAAGCACAATTCTGAAGCTGTAGGAGAAGATGACTTGCTTAGGGTGCACGCAAAGGTCCTGTCGACATGGCTGCGGGTTTTAATGGGATGTCCACATTCAGGTTCTAAGGAAAAGAAAAAAAACCCACAAAAAACCAAGCACCTCACTCCTTGCATCTAGGAATTAAATCTTGGAAACTGAGAGTTCAGATTGGCAATTATGTGATGTTGGGGGGGGAGAGGAGTTGTTTTGGTGGTGTGGCGGTGGGTTTTGTTTTGTTTTTCAGCAAAATCCAATTTTCATCAGATATTGTGCTTAGTTTGTCACTAACTGGTAGGAAGACTAGAGTGAGAATTACAGGGTTTTTTTCAAAAGAGCATTTTTGGACGTTCTTAGAATGACGGAGCTGTTTCAGCGTATACAGAGAGGTGACAATCTCTACCTGTCAGGCTGTGCCAGATCAGATCTTAGATTGAGACCTGGGGAGAAGGACACTATGGACAGCTAGTTCTGAGCGACTGGAAATATTTCATATAACAGCTGCTTGAAGTATTTTGGAGGAGGAGTTACAATAACTAGGATTTCATGTTTCTCATTCTGTACCGAACATTTATTTTCCAGATACTAACAGGAAACCTTTTCCATTGACTGTTAATGATAACAATAGGTGTGTCTGAGCGAGGTTGAAGATGCTGCTAAATGTTTAAGATATGTGGTATGTATCACAAGATAAATATGTAAGTAGTTTAGAAAAGTAAATTATCAAATAGTTGTCTGTGTATATGTATGTATGTGGATGGTAAAACAAAACCTGCTCACGTCTGCTATCTCATTACTAAGCTACCATGACTTAATCCAGAAACCTACCTGCATGTGAGACTTTAGAACTGGTACACTTCTCTACCTGGTTTATTGTGTTTACTAATGTATATTTTTCTAAATATACAGATATTTCAATCTAAAAATTCTATATTTATCTGTAATTTCTATCTGTTTTGGACAGTGCATGAGGTGCTGTAAAATTCTGTACATATAGAGACTTAATAGAGGAAACACTGTAGTTGCCCTGTGAATGAGGAGTTACACATGAGTACAGGCAGTACGCCAGGACCCCTAAGTTATTTCCTTAAATGCACCAAAAATTCCCTGAAGTGTGCACCAATCTCAACTGTAATGTAAATACTTTGGTGCACGTGTACCCTAGGGGTGACCTTGCTGTCTCTACATGTCCCACTAGCGGGTCTGCTTTAGGTTCTACACCGTGTGGCAAGATGCTGTCAATTGTTTAATGCAGTTTAGTGGGAGAGTTACAATGGGATACGTTGTCTTGCATAGATTTATAAAGGTCTTTTAAAATGTTCTACAAGTGAAATGAAAGTAAAATTGGAGGAGAATTGTGGCGCAGGTGAAGGAAATGGAATTGGTGACCATTGCAGTGACCTTAACCTGTGCCACGGTCTCCCATCAGCGCAGCTCCACCTGCTTGGCCACACAGAGCTTTGTGGAGGGGGATGGCAGGTCAGCTCATCGTGTCCGAATCTGTGCTGATATAAACTGTCACATCTTGGATAGGCTTAAAACCTGACGCTTTTTTTTCCCCCAATCCTCTGTACCATTCTCATGGCATCTTCCAAAATCGTACCTCAGTGACTTGCTGTACAAATGGCCTGTGGCTCGGTGTTCAGGAATTCATCTGGGTTGGGTTGGGAAGAAGGTGACTCAGATACGGAACAGGAAAGTTTTTTTAGTTTTTGAAACAGAAAATTTCTGGCTGGGTCCCCTTGGGAGCCAAGCTTGCCTCTGCTGTGCTTAAGGTCCAGTGGAGAAGGATCAAGTAGAGCAGCACGCCAGGAACCAGGAGGTAGGTTATCACCTGTCTTTACATGTGAGCTCTTAGGTCCTTCACCTCTTCCTTGGTTTCCCACCCAGGCTTCCTCTGTCCTGCTTCTTCATTCAGGCTGAACTTTGATGCAGATGCTGTTCCTCCTGATACCTGTAGTGCCTGCTGCAGTAGGTCCCCGTCACGCCGTGTGCCTGTAGGTACAGCTCTAGGACAAGCTGCAGGTGAAGGGCTGGGGCATCTGTCTTGGAAAGGTGTGTTGGGCCTGTTTGCTGCGTGCAGGGCTTATCGCCTCACCCAAATGCTGAGGAGTGGAAGCACCGTATTGTTCTTGCCAAATTTCACGATACTACTTCTGCAGAAGTGGTGAGAAATGGATTTCTGTGTGTGTAGGTCGGGGTTACTGGATACAGACTCCTGCTCTGCCAGGCCTCTTGCCTTAAAACCCCCTCCCGCCCTCGGTCCCACATGAAACCTCTCCTGGGCCAATAAAAGGATTTCTGTAGCTAAAGCTCCTCTGCTCTGGGTTCTGTGAGGAACTCTCATTGCTGAAGGTGGTGAAATCCTGGCCCAATTTTCATTTCTTTTTTGTCGAGTTTCTTTTTTTTGGCCTTCCCTTTTTGGTTTTCATGTATTTTTAACAAGTTTCCTGATGGGAATTGTCGGGGATTCTCAGCTGCTGTAACTTCCTCTGGTCAGTCCCGAGACAGACGCTACAAAGAGCGAAAACACTTGTAGAGCAACCAAGTGGCAGAGGCAGCTTTGGCTTCCAAATGTATTAAAAACATGCTCGTGTGCATGCACACACACGTGTAGAAATAGAACTGAGGGGTAAGTACTGCAGGTAATTCAGATGGTATTTGCTAATTTACCTGAATTCTCCACGGTGGGAGAATTCTAAAGGGTCACATATTAATCTTCCGAATGCTCAGTTCAGCCGCTGGTTCCACAGCTGGAATTTACCTTTATGGGTAAATTACCTTTACAGGCTTAAAAACAAACCCCAGCTTGGTGAAGGCTCTTACACAGTTTCACCTCCAAATAGATTATTACTTTTTTTTTTTTTTCCGACAGGGTCTCAGCAATATTTGTATTTTATAGAATTAGTTGCACTTGAAGTAAATGTGAATATTGTTCTCAACATTTTTAACCCTTTCCCATGCTAGTGGGGTGTGGAGTTCCTTTTGCTGCCAAGGCAGCGGTTGGATGTGGGATACTCATCCACCCACCTGCCAGCTAATATAGTTACAGTCCTGGAAACACTTTCTCCCTGTTATCCTTTCCCTTTTAATGCCCTTAGCTCCATGGTCATGCCTCTCCACGCACGTGTAGCTGTCCTCGCTGCCAATCCAAGTATCGCTCCATAAGTACCGAGTTACCTACAACACAGTAAAACCTCTTCCCAAATCCCACCTAACTTCTCTTCTTTGCCCTCTTACACGATACAAACTGTAGAGCAAAACGAGTGACGCTGCTTTGGGCAGTTCGGGGGGGAGGGGGCAGCAAAATTGTTGCCTGCAAAAAACTATTTTCTGATGATTTTTTTGTTGGTTTAGGTCTTGTACACAATTAGATATGGAAGTGATGGTTGAAATGTATTTTAACCCCGTGGCAAATGTGTGTTGAGCATCCCATCCCCTCCCCTCCCCACACGTCACCGGCGCAGTGTTTGGGTTCTGGGGTGTAAGAAGGGGGGTCTGGGCTTCCTTAGGTTTCAAAAGACACAGATTTGCTGCTGTCCCACCCCCGACTGGGGAAAGAACTGTAAAATCTCAGTTACCTGTTTGGATTTCAGTGTGTATTAGACATCTGTCACCGTGCCGTTCCTCACCTTCCTCCTTCTCAAAACTGTTTTTGCCTATTGGAAACTCTCCTGTTTTGATTTTTTTTTTTCTTCTAGAGCGTATTAAATTAAACTGGATTTGATATTTGTAAAACTGTAAGAACTGCTCTCCTGTAAAAAAAACCAAACCCTTTCTTTAGCTGAAAAAAGATCTTAACTATTAGCTAAACTTTCTAATGTAAACCTGAAGCTGATTTAGTACCTAATTGTTGTTTGACTACAATAACATAGAGCAGGCTGAGGGGATGGGACTTGTTCTCTTTCTGACTTCACACCGAGAAAGTCAGCGAATCCATCGGATGTTTTTAAATTGTGACTTGTTTTCTAAAACCCCCATTGTCTTTTTTCACAGCTAATATTTTCACAATAAACACAGCCAAACATAAAAACGTTAAATGTACAAATTGTGAAATTCTGTTAATTCCCAACAAAATATTTTTGTATATAATAAAGATTTAATATTGAAAAAATGTAGTTAGCTTTTTTCCCCCAAATTGGGAAATGGGGGCGAGCCCGTGCCTTTGTGCGCGGCGGTGCCTTCGCCGCGGGCCGCCTGCCGTGCATATGGATTTTATTATCTCCCTCACATTTTTGTGGGGGATTGTAAGAGGCAGGGATTGCTGCTTTTTTCTTTGCTTTTTTTTTTTTTTTTTTTTTTTTTTTTTTTTTTTTTTTGCCCTGCTCTTGAATCTTAGCCACATAAGGAAGCTATCAAGAAGCAATATCCTTTGCTGCTGAGGACTGGCTCCACGTTAACCCACCAGGTGTTTCCTGCTGGTGTGTCAGTACCCAGTATTGCCCAGACCAACCCACCTGCACAGACTGGGCTTTGCTCACCATCTGCTGCTCTGGTTTAAGTCCCCCGAGGATGGTGCATCCAGCTCCTCCGCGCCTCATCGGGTGCTCAAAGCTCAGGAGAGCAGCTTTTCCGTGGGTCTCATTTGGCTTGATGCTGTTCTTGACTGGGCCGAGTCCTTGTTCCGTTGTCTTGGGGCCTCTTCAACCAGCCTAGAGATGTCATGGCTGAATTTGGGCTCCTTATTTCCTGAGCCCCCCAGCACTGAGGGAGCCGGTCTCCTGGGCCCAGGGGGTAATTAGCCAGGGTACAAAAGCCCATAGGGCTGGGGACTGCAGCTTGTCTGTTGCTGCTGCCCCTGGAGGCACACATGCTCCTCCAGAAGAGGCTGCTGACCTCGTCTGCCCTGGTCCTGCTCCCATTCTGAATGGGAAGGGGGTGGTTTCTCCTCCCTTCCTCCTGGGGACTGCAGAAGTACAGCAAAGGGAGTAACATTTGGGGGAGGGAATTTGTGTGAAATCAAACCTTTTATGAGACAGGTTCCAACTCCCTCTGAAGGACCCTTGTACCACCTCCGTTTTCTAGGAAAGGCCTCATTTAGTTCTGTACAAGGACAGCCTGTCACACGCAATCACTGTTTTATCTAAGATGTGGATGCACATCCTCCTCCTCTGGAGTGGAGTCTGAATTAATTTGGATGGGTGCAGCTTAGGCTGGCTCCCTGAAGAGGCTTCCTCGTTTAGCTCAGGGAAGGGCAGGACAAGAGTGACTTGGAGACAGACACATTTTTTTCTGCTCTTCCCTTGGATCTTCCTACCCCCCCCGGGTCTGAGCTATTTTTAATACTAATGTGCATAAGGATCCTGCTTTCCAGAGCACGGAAGAAGGAACTGGAGGGAAAATGATGAACACAGAAACAACCTTAGTGCTTCTGTTCCCCCCAGCTGTACGGCGCCGTTCTGAAAAGGCCACATCCTAGGCTACCTGCTGGGCTAGAGGTCCTTCTATAGGATACATTTCTATAGAATACCTACAGTCTGTTGGGTTTTTTTCCCCTGCTCTTTTTAAACAAATCCCCTCTCACCATAAAGTGTGCACACCCTGTAAGCACCCGTGCAATATTAGTAGACATAAGGCTTACCCCAAAACTCTGTAAGGAAGATGGGTGCCCACACGGCCACTTCCCACCACCTTTCAAGGCCAAGGGAATGGCCCCCCCTCAAAAAAAGAACAATAAAAATTACATGCGTGAGGTTGTAAGTTACTCTACTGTTTTGACATAACATTTAATAGAAAGTTTTGATAAATTAGTTGGTTACAGAGGCAACTTTTGAGTAGTGATTAGCAAATGAAGACTTTCCCGTTTACAAACACGCGTCACTCACAGAAGCAAACAAGCTTCTGTCCTCCTGAAGGACATTTCCACAGACACCAGTGCAAGGTTCAGGCAACACCATCAGCTTCATGTAACAAAGGACACACAGAAGCACCAACAGCTCAGGGTAAAGGCTCTCCTGCACCCCCAGGGCATGGAGAGGTACCACAGGGCTTTTCTGCAAAGCCAGATTCCTCAGGGAGAACTTAATTGGCACGAGTTTTTAAAGACCTCGTAGACAACCTGCCTAAGACCATGTCAGAACAGAGCAGAAAACTGAACCCAGGACTCCCACCCACTGGTGAAGCTGCAGGGTCTGGTTACTGATCACAGCCCACCCACACATGCACAGGTGCCTGCTCGTTTGCCCATCAGCCACCTCAGTGTCTTACCTGAAACCACTGATTCTACCCCACCTGGAGTGCTGTGTCCAGCTCTGGAGCCCTCAGCACAAGAAGGACATGGACCTGTTGCAATGGGTCCAGCAGGGGGGTCACAAAGATGATCAGAGCACCTCTGCTGTGAGGACAGGCTGAGAGAGTTGGGGTTGTTCAGCCTGGAGAAGAGAAGGCTCCAGGGAGACCCTACAGCAGCCTTCCAGTACCTGAAGGGTCTACAGGAGAGATGGGGAGGGACTCTTTATCAGGGAGGGGAGTGATAGGACAAGGGGTAATAGTTTTAAACTGAAAAAGGGTAGATTTAGATTAGATATTAGGAAGAAATACTTTAGTGTGAGGGTGGTGAGACACTGGAAGAGGTTGCCCACAGAAGCTGTGGCTGCCCCATCCCTGGAGGTGTTCAAGGCCAGGCTGGATGTGGCCTTGAGCAACCTGCTCTAGTGGGAGGTGTCCCTGCCCATGGCAGGGGGGTTGGACCTCAATGATCTTTAAGGTCCCTTCCAACCCAAACCGTTCTATGATATTCCTGGAACATCACATTCCCAAGCCTGCATTTACAGTGATCTCTGCTGCATTTCTGTCCCATTCACATGATTACAAAAACTTACAGTTAAAAAAAAAAAAAAAAGGCAAAGCAGTTCGAAGCACAAAGTGCTTTTCGGACACTTTGCCGTTAGTGCAGGAAACAAGCAAAATATCTGCACTCAAAATGTCATACAGGTAAAATGATCATTTTTGTGAAGTGCTGCAAGGAAATCCCATGTGCGCACACCAAAAGGCACCACCGTACCTCAGAGAGAAAGCCCAGAATGCAATTTGAAACTTGCTAAGGTGAGTAAAAACTTAAGAGAAATGCTGTACAGAGGCATAAATCCCTCAGGTGGTCTTAGGTTTTGAAAAAGAGAGTATTTTATTTCCTGCAGCGTGCAGTTCACATCCACAAAGCCCAACTACACTTAATAAACGAACACCTAATCAAGTACCTCTCTGAGAGCCCTCCACTCCACTTGCTCCAGAGTGAAGCCATCCTGCACAGCGTCTTGAACCATTTACTGCCTTGCAGAGCCCTGGATTTCAAACCACTGCCTCTTTGTTTGCTTGCTTACAAAAAGCAGTTGGTGCTCTGCAGTTTTCCCCCACGCATATTAATGCAAGCAATCAGGCTTCTGCTGCCCTGCGGATCTGACAGCCACCAGAGCAGCTATGTTCAATTTCTGTTCCAGGCTCGTCTTTTTCATTTTTTCCTTCCTCCCCTCCATCCCATATTTAAGTGTTTTCCACTGCAGACGTACCCTAGTGAAAGAGCAGAGCAGCAGCACACCCGAGGGCAGTGAGGAGCACTCACCCGGTCCCCCCTGACCTCCAAAACTACCATAAGGACTCAGCTGAGCAGCTCTTCCTTAAACACACCAACACTACACTGCAGGGGGACAAAAGCAAGGACAGGCAACAGCGATAACCGGGTGCTCGACAAAGATCCTATACGTTCCCACCCAAAGCGTGAAATCCATACAATGCAACATACAGAACAAGGGGGAAGAACCTCGGCTCGTTCATAGTTACAGCTTTTACAGAAGACTCCGTCAGTTCCAAATTAATGCTTGACGAGGCAAACAGCTTTTGCACGACATCAAATCTTCCTCTGTCAGCGAGAGGTGCCACCAAAGGACTGCTCAGGGCCACGCTGCCATCGGCTGAAGCGACCTTAGGCTGGATTTATGAGAGAGAGCAAGAGACAGAGAGATTAAAAAGGCTTCCCAAGCAGCGCCGCCACCGCACCGCTCAGCTCCTTCTTACTAAACCACCGGAGAGCTCACAAGGCAGCAGCAAAAGGGCAAGACTCCCCATATTACTGGCCTTGAGAAGTGCCATGTCCTCATCCAGAGCCAAAGCTCTACGTCACCCTTTGAGGAGAAACAGCTACTGCATCCTTTCCCCCAGTCCAACTTCCCTCAGCACGGATCACACTTAACTCTCACTCCTACTCTGAGCAAACAGCACTCCCCTTGCCCCTAACTATTTAAAGGTTTTTACTATTGTTTTTGTCAGTGAGCTTAAAAAGCTTTAAAAAAGCCCTGCCCCATTCCTTCAGCAGATTCAATGAACGGCCTCAGAGTTTTGGACCTTCAGAATTTGCCCAGGCCCAAGCATAGAATCATAGAATCACAGAATGGTTTGGGTTGGAAGGGACCTCAAAAGATCATCCAGTTCCAACCCCCCTGCCCTGGGCAGGGACACCTCCCACTAGAGCAGGTTGCTCAAGGCCACATCCAGCCTGGCCTTGAACCCCTCCAGCATCCACAGCTTCCCTGGGCAACCTGTTCCAGTGTCTCTCCAGCAGGAGATTACTGCTACTGAGACTTTCAAACAGGCTAGTGAGACTATTAGAAAATTAAAGTTTGAGCTTAAGTTACAATTTCCTTTTGCTCTCAGCCGATGAAATCTCCCAGATACAGAGAAGTTTCAGAAGTTTGGTGTCCAGGAAACTACCTGCACCGTCTGCCACTGTCAGACTCTGACCTTGCCTAAGCAACACCCGCAGCTGAAATTCACCCAGGAGCTGGACATCTTCTTTATTGGGTGAGAAACACAATAAGGCAGAGAAGAGCCATTACTGCTGCCGGGGCCCACACGCTACACGGACACATTCTGATTACTCACCAAACAACACAACGCCGGAACAACCTGAAGATCACAGCAGGCACGCAGCAGGACAAGAGTGTAATCAGACAGCTCTGTGAAGGAAACATTAAAAGGGGAAGATTGTTTCCAGCAAATACTGCTCGGGGCTGCTGCTGGGAAGGGGACTTTCTTAACGCTGAGCTCTGTTACGGGGTTCTCCTGCTGAGCATTTTTGAGGCCCACCCGCAGGTACAGCACCTCGTGAAAGGGCCGTGGGAGACCACAGGGATTCGATGCTGAGGACAGTTGTCACAAGGGCTCTGCTGGACACTGGGAAGAGGCTGATCCAGCCCTTTCCTGCCCACTTCCCAGAGCGCAGAGTAAAACAGGACGGGCGATGGGTACGGGCTCCACACTGACTACCCCTGCCCTTGAGAACAGAAAGGCAGCCTCCAGAAAAGGGGATTTCCTCCCCACCATTCTTGTCTCCTCCCTGAGCATCTCCCCCATGGTTCACTCCGAGGCTGCAGGCTGGATGAACGATTCAGGCCTTGAATAAAACAAGAACCTCCGCTCTCAAAATCTGTATGAAACGCTGACTTCAGTAAAAACACCATTTGAGAGCAACGACACAGCTGAGACTGCCTTGGGGCAGGGAGATGGACTAAATGATCCCCGTGGTGCCCTTCAACTCTGCACCTCAAAGGCTGTAACTCCTAATAGAAGCAATGGGCATAAAACAGCTTTTGATTCTTGATCCAACTACATTTACGCCTGGACGTTAGCCGCAGACATTATGTCCAGAGCCAGGTGATAATACAGCACACTCAATTAGCTGTGCCCTGCTGTTAATAGCATCTGACAAGTGTTACCACATCAGCAGGTTTCTGGTTTCTATTACTTTTCTGTCTCTGCAAATGAGTTAAGCTTTCCCTACCCGGGTACAGTGCGTATATGGATGCACATTGACATTTTGCTGCACAGCACCACATCTAACTAATACCACACTGGACTTCCCTTCATTATCTTAATGTCAGGAAATTCTTTATATTTGAGGGAGGGGAGAAAAAGCCAGGAAAGTCTGTCTTGGACATTGCAGGTAGCTTTTAATTAACATTGTGGTGCCAACGAGATCGTGAGCGTGGCATTTGTTTGACATTTATGTTTAATCTCCTTTTTCAGCAGCTGCAAAACAACCCTCTAATTGCAGCATCTCTATGTTAAATTCATTTTTGCTAAATATAGTTTGCAGCTCAACAATCCACGCTGTTACACAGAAGACACCACCTAATTTGTAAATCTCAGCGTTTAGGTGGGATGAACTCTGGCATGCACCAAGAACAGCAGTTAAGATTGCCAAACTGGAAATGCCCGCATCCAGCGGAAAGCAGAGTTGAGCAGTCTTGGGGGAATGTGTATTTTACAAGCAAAATCTGTCACTGATTGAAGGGCTGAATTTAATTCACAGCCAGGAATGCTAAGCGTGGTACGCCGAAGCCATAAAAAGGAACAGAACAAATTATGTTCACTCAGTTCACCAACTGCTCATAAAGAGCCATGAACGGTTTAACACAGAGGGAGCTTCTAAAAAGAAAATAGATTTAAAAAAAAAGGGCTCTTCTTTTCATTCACAACATACCCGAGATAGCTCCGATGAGGAGGTGAGCAGCTGAGAAGAGCTCTTCATCCTGAGGGTGACATTTCTGCAACAACAGCTCGCTCTGTGAACTGCATCCTAAGAGCTGCAAGAAGTCAATGAGGTCTCGCTGTTGCGCGGGTTTTAACTCCTCCAGATCTGGCTTGTCTCCTGTGCAGATATCATCTAACTGAAGAAAAAGAATAAATGTGACTTCTTGAAAAGAGCAAAGCTCCAGCAGAAGAGAATGCTAGCTCTAGTCAGAAATTACTTTTAGGAAGCAAGCAAAAGTTTCTTCATCTTACCACGTCCTCCAGGGCAGTGACCATTTCTTCATGGAGCAAGAGTTCACAGAGGGTTTTATATAAAGCTCTTTGCTTGTCTTCTGGCAGCTTCACAAAGGGCTGGAACTGAGTCTTCAACCGTGACAGATCTTTCCCGAGAAAGCAGTAAAAAGTAAACCTCAGTATTGCTACACAAATGCCAGTAAAAACTGCTAACATTTTTGCTATATGTTTCCTAAGCTCACTTATCACATCATCTTGACATCCTGATTTCCGTCATCACAAGTTCTAATGAAAGGTTAGAACACACCTGATTGTATTTCCCTAATGAGCCAATGAAGCATCAATGACAATTCTAAGAAAGAAGAACAGTTACTAAGGATCAACACTCGCTGTTCAATTTTTTTAGTATTTTAGAATTCAGTATTTTAATGTTAACTGAACTAACCATGTACTAAGTTTCTCACTTGAAAGTTCATCTCCAGATAATGTTCATTTATAAGGCAGAATTAATTGTTCTGCTCATAACCTTACTTCTTAATCTGTGGGTTAATATGAATTACAAAGTTAATGGTATGAGTCCACACACAGAATTCAAAGTTCCTATTGCGATCTTAAATGGATATTGTCCTCATTTTTCATCAGGTGCATCAAAGAATTACAACCCTTCAACCCCAACCAAATTATTATTACAGAAATCTCCTCTTGATTAAAATATTGAATCGATTGCAATACATACAAAAGAAGCACAAGAAAGTTCACTGCACTTCTTTCCCCACAATACAACTATGACACTAAACCAAAATATTTTATGACATCAAATTACTACTTTGCTAAAAGTAAACTTTTGAAATCAATAATGCCAACAGGAAGGCTGGAATGTGCTTCTGCACATGCCAAAAATAGGGGCATGCAAGCGTTCTTAATCTTGTTTAAAAGAAATTTCCCTTCATGTCACTCCAGTCAAGAAACACGCTCTCTCTAAAGATGCCTTTTATATCTAAAAATTACTTCATTGAGGAAAAAAAAAGTAAAAACGCAGCCAGAGGCAGACATTTTTTGTACCTGATGCAATTGTATGACCGTCTATACAAATAACAAAAGAGGAAATCTACTTTAAATTGCTTTAGTAGAAACAATTTTTTTAGTTTTTTCCAAGAGACAGTTCAGGTTAATTAATTAAAAGAAATCTCCAGGCTGTTTAAGCAAGAAAGGCACAAAGGTATGTTAAGCTGAAACAAAACCCCAAACAGTGGCATATCATTCTTTCACAAGTACGTGTTTTTTATATACGCACGGAGACACAGTCATTCCTTTAAAACAAGTCTACACTGGAAAATGACGGAATTGATTTCAGGAGAACAAGTACCTATTTTGGTCACAGTTAGTCTATTGAACAACCATGAACAAAGGGTGAAATTTTGAGATAACAAAAATGATGTTCATCGTTAGAACCAGCAGTAATAATTCTACCTAGAACTGATGAAAATTGTGTTCCGAGGCCTTGATTTGTTTTTCCCTTTTTCATTCCTCTGGTGACAATCCTGCCCCTTCCTTCCACATCCCTACAATAAACAAGTTGTGCCTGGCCCATTATACCAATTTGCAAGCTTCCATTTAAACCACATTTAAATTTTGTCAGCTTTACTTCATATCAAAGATTTCTATAAAGTTTTTCAGAAAATAATGAGCCTAGTTTAAGGTGGGGGAGACATCTCTGTAATTTTTGAGATTTAAAATAACTTTTAACTGAGAAGCTTTAATGATAGTATTTTCCGAATTATGAAAAAAATATCTTCAGTGACCCTTTCTGAATGAAAGCATAAATCATCACTAATCTTATAGAGCTTATCTGGAATGTAACAGAACTGGCATAAAACCCTAATTTTGTAAGATCATATTTACGACAAAGACATTCAGGCTATTCCTAGGGAACAGTCCCCTGCATATACCTACTGCAGAAGGAAATTTTTCTATTCTTTCAGTGCATTCCCCCAAGAGTTCCTGATAAGGGCTATTAGAATGAACTACATAATTTCTTATGTACTATCATACCAGATTATTTCTTCCTATCATGTTGCTTAACTCACTGTAATGTAATCATGTAAAGCATTTCTGGTAATACCTTGTTTCAATACACTTAAAGAAGCACCGCTGGGAAGGGGGTTTTCAGCCCCAGAGTACATCTCATTATCAACAGCATCTGGCTGATAGAGAAAGGAAGCATCCCTGAATAGTGTTGAATGGGGATAACTCGAGTCTTCACTGCTTTCTTTTTCAAAACCTCCTTGCTGTTCATCTAGCAGGCAGAATTCTGTAATTAGAAACCCAATTTTAAAAAAAATAATTAATAAAATCCACAAGCAATTACCGAATGAGATGCTAGCTTATATTATCTGGTGTTCTTGTGTGTGTTTTCTCCATGCCTTGTCTTGTCTAGATGGCAAGAATGCCAGGGGTTGCTGCCTATGGGACTCACTGAGCATTACTGCAGCCCTGAGGTTTGGTACAGCGTGCACAGGAAAAGGTCCAACAGAGGTGCAGGTACCAACTACAAGATGTGACAGCAGCTCCTGTGAATTAAAGTAACGTAGACAGCAAATAACAGGAAAACTTCTCACCAGCACTGTAAACCTGAACAAGAGACGCAGGTAAGAATTCTTCACATCTTCTGCTAATTAAGAGATGTGCTGCAATGCAGGCTACAGGATCTACTCATGGTTTGAGACACACGAAAGCACTTTCTGAGATGCATAAGAACTCTTGAGAGTCTCTCACAGAGCTGCTTCTGCCCATGGCACTGACAGACTCCTCTTTCTGGGCCAAGCTACAGGTCCATCCTCAGGTTCTCCAGATGACTGGAAAAATAGGGGCTTTTCAGAGTCTCTAAAGGATTTCATCTTCTGTTCACTAACAGAATTGCTCTGCAATATACTGTCTCTTTGCAGTAACTGCATGGAGAAAATAACACACCCTGGCTTGATTAGTCTTTCTGCCTCATCTGCATGATGAGCCCTGGCCTAACTCACCCAAACAGGGCTGCCTATTTCCTGCCACCCCAGAGCTCCCAACTTGATGAAGCCAAGAGACTCCTGGAAGGTGCCCAGGGAGCCCTTCTAAGAGTTGGGCTGAGAAATCTGGAATATCAAGTTCTGTGCTCATGTGGCCAGTATTGTACCCCAAAGATGAAGAATACAATCAAAGCCCCGTGCATTATTTTGATCATGGTTTTGATTTGAAACTGTACCCCTGGCACTCTGCAGCAGGTCTGAAGAGAACACAGGCAGGCTACCAAGAGGAACTCAATTTTCAAGTCATACCTGACAGCAAAGGGGAAAAAAAAAAAAAAAAAAAGAACAGAAAGATAGAGACATTTTTATCATTAGTAATGACATGAAACCTCAGGGATAGCTGAAGATCTGAGACCGCCCCAGAGCTCCCAACTTGATGAAGCCAAGAGACTCCTGGAAGGTGCCCAGGGAGCCCTTCTAAGAGTTGGGCTGAGAAATCTGGAATATCAAGTTCTGTGCTCATGTGGCCAGTATTGTACCCCAAAGATGAAGAATACAATCAAAGCCCCGTGCATTATTTTGATCATGGTTTTGATTTGAAACTGTACCCCTGGCACTCTGCAGCAGGTCTGAAGAGAACACAGGCAGGCTACCAAGAGGAACTCAATTTTCAAGTCATACCTGACAGCAAAGGAAAAAAAAAAAAAAAAAAAGGAACTAATCAAGCACAGTGCTCACATGTACCAGGCACAAAACCTAAATATAACCTTCCTGCAGTTGTAAGAGTCTGTCTCACCAAATTAAGGACATTCAAAGCAGATGAGAAAGCACGGAGAACACTCCATCAGCAAAGAGCTTTTTCAAAGGGAGAGCAGACAAAGAAATCTCTGCCACAGAGAAAGAAAGACGACAGAGACCTTGATGCCTGCATAACCCTTCGCAGAGAAGGGTGAGCTACAGAGGAGCAGAAAGAGATTAACACAAATTAAAGAACTTCCCAAAGCAACAAGACTCTGGACAGCAGCTAAGGCACCCTAAGGCCAACACACTTGTGTTACTTTCACCGATAATAACGCGGCTTTCACACAAACCCTGAAGGAGGAATAGTGCTAATAAACTACCTGCCCTCCTAAGGCAGAACGATGCTAATGAGGGAAATCACCACACAGAATCACGTGAAAAGGTTTAAGAGATACAGACCCTGCTGTTAAATCTTGTAACAGAACTCGATTCAGAGGAAAACACAGGACTCTGAAAGTTTTCTATTAATAGCACTCTTAATTAACTTTTATCTCATTATTTTTTTCAGTCTTTAAAAAAAAAAGGTAAAAAAGTGAATGAAAGAATATACACAATACTGTGATATTTTCTCTATTGAACTCTAGTACCTTCATTGTTGACAAACCTCCAATAGCACAGTAAGATCTTGTTATTCAGAAACATTAACATAAATGGAAGAAAACCAGAAGTGATCAGTGAAAACAATCAAAGGCAAAGAGACGCCTTTGCGTGGAGAAGCTGAAAAGTTTAAGACTATTTAACTTACAGACATTTAAGAGGAAGCAAGTCACACATATATAGCAATGAACAGAACAAAGCAGATCAGCCAGGTGCTACTGTATCTCCTGTTTTGCAAAGCAAGAACAAGAGGACTTGCAGGGAAACTTTAGAGACACAAAACTGCAAAGCCTTTAGCAGGAACAGCTTTTACATGTAGAGGAAAATTAGCCTGCAGAAATCAGACAGAGCGATTACAGGAAAACATTACAGTAAAGGGGTCAGAAAAGGATTAGAACTTTTGTCTTTCTTTTTAAATTTATTTATAAAAATGTCCAAGCATGTCCAGTCACGTTAGCCAGAACATTTTAAAGAAAGTTTATCTACCATTCTTCCTTATAGAATAACTCAAGCACTGTCAGTGGCAAAGAAAAAGAAAGAAAGAAACCTTAAAAGCACCTTATTCCTTAACTGTCTGCAAAGAGAATCCTATTATGCTACACCTGCTACTGGTCACTTTCTGTTTTATGTGAAAGGACTACATTAGTCTCTGAAGTTAACTTCAAAGGCTACTTTTTATTTCCATAAACAGACACTGATCCCTGCTCAGACATTAAGAAGTTGAAGGTTACGCTCCACTACCTTATTCTTGCTGTCAAATCCCTAATTTTGTTGTTAGTTCCTCCTTTTTACTTTCTGAGTGAGAGTCAGGGAAGGGAAGATGGCACAAATTAAAAAAAGAGGCAAGACATAGGTTGTTTGGGATAAAACATGAAACAAGCTGTGCTGGTTTTGAAGCTTAAAAGACAAAACATTAAATATGAAACAAAAAAAGTGGAAAAAGAAAAAAAGTGGAAAAAGAGCAGAGAAATATAAATCATTAACAAGACCCATGTATTACCTGCTAGCAGGACACAGGTATTTACATTTAGAAATCACCTGAGTAGGCTATCAGCTATACACCTATGTAGTCAGCCTTAATTGCACCTGATTACTCTGAATTATGGTTCTATTATGATCATGAAGTCAATGCCCTCTGCTATATCTCTGAGTTCGGTTTATGGCAGAGCAATTTCACATTTCAGAAAAATTTTTACAGGTTACATGATATTTACTTATATTCTTGTACCTACAGACTTCCTTAATATCAGAAGTCAGTTGAAGGAGAATGATGGAGAGGATCTTCTGCTTTTCTTATCCAAATAAAGGTGCATCCTGGATTCAAACTCAACTGCACTTCAATTATTTCTTCAAAAATATCTCCTGTTTCTTTCCACATCAGTCCCTTCCAACTACCTGCCCTACAAATTCCATCTCATTTCCTTCCTTCTTGCATAACATCCCCTGAAACCTCCTTTAGGTCAGGGAGTTCAACTGAGGACAGACAAGAAAGAAAAACCCAAGTGATTCTGCAAAGCAGAGTTACTACTCCCCCCAAAGCCAATTTCAACTTTTTTTTTTTTAAAACTCGATACCTAAAGTATTCAACCTGAAATAAGTAAAGCACGACTAGAAACACAACAGGGACATTTCTGCAATCATTCTAAGAACAATCTGTATATTAAAGCGTAAAATAGACAGAAGAGTTTAAATTCCAGTGCTATACTTTATGGATAATTCTTTTCTTAGCATGACTGTTGTCCAAATATTCCTGGCTGACTGTCAATTTATATTCAGTTCACTCTCCCTGTCAATAGGTGAAGGCACCAGCACAGGCTGGGGGCCAGGTAGCTAGAAGCAAACCTGCAGAAAAAGACCCAGACAACAAATTGGAGAGGATCATCAACACATCCTTGCAGCTACTGGAGTTTGCTGCATACTGGGCTGTGCTAACAGGAGAATAGCTAGCAGATCGATGAAAGTGATTTTTCAATTTGGGAGACTGCATTCACAATGCTGTGTCCAGTTTTGGACTCCCCAGTACAAGACAGACATTCTCATACTAGGGCAGTCCAGCAAACAGCCACCAAGATCGCTACGAGCTGGAGAACACCACGTATGAGAAGAGGCTGAGAAACTGGGTTTTCCAGCCTGGAGAAAATATTATTGCTGTCTACAACTACTCAATGGAAGCACAAAGAGAAGATGGGCCCAGACTCTTCTGTATGATGACAGGACAAAAGGCAAGAAATGCAAATTAAAGAAAGAGATGTTCTCGTTAGGTATTAAGGGGAAAAAGAAAGTTCACCTCGATGGTGAACAGGCTGCCCAGAGGGGTGATGGAATCAAATCTCTGTCTCTGGTGATATTCAAAACTTGAACAGACGAGGATACGAGCATCTCATCTAACTCCGACCTCAGATCAAACTTCTAAAGTTGGCCATGCCTTCAGCTGCGGCTTGACCTACATGACCTCCTGCAGTCCCCTGAAACTTAAGTTATTCTAAATTTTTTATTATTTATTCAAACAACTGAACAAGCCTTACACTAAATCAGGAAAGCAGCATTTCACAGCACAAATAACTATCAAGGCAATGGAGACCATACAACATCATCACTTCCATGTGCAGGGAAATGCAAAAATCATTGCCCAACAGACATCTCTGTCCACAGTTGAACTGTGTGCCACAGAAAATGAGCTTTATACTTACCAAACTGGCCATTGTGCTTTATAAACAGTTCAATTACACCGTAGGCGATAGTGGTTGCAGGAGGAATTTCAAGGATCACACTAGAATCCTTCATCATGCTTCCATTTTCACTCACTGATACCTAGAAGACAGATTTATTCACCATTTATCTGATTCAGCTATTGAGGAGCTTAAACACACAATTCATTGCAGGGGAAAAATATAGAGAAAGGATG